TCACTTTCTAGGGGGCTTCATGGCGTCTCCTCCTGCCCACGGTGGGGGCTTCTTGCCGCTCTTCTGTTCAGAGGGTTTCCTGGGTGTCTCTGCTTCCTGCTTTTCCACATAGCCTAGAACCAGCTCAGCTGGCTCCAGAAAACATTTGCTTATTTTTAAAAATTGAGACTTTGTTAATGTATTCACTTTGAGAAAACTGACATCTTTACGAATGCCAAAAACAACGGGTGTGGCTGTATCTACTCCAGTTTACGTCTTTCCCAGGTGAGATTCTTCTAGGACTGTTGCAGCTGTTTCAGAGGTTTCATATGGATTCTGTACATCTGATGTTAGGTTTAGTCCCATGTGTTATCTTTTTCATTGCTTTTATATTTTTTTATTTTTATAGAGACAGGGTCTTGCTGTATTGCCCAGGCTGGTCTTAAACTTCGGGCCTCAAACAATCCACTCCCCTCAACCTCCTAAAGTGTTGGGGTTACAGGCTGAGCCACTGTGTCTGGCCAGCATAATGGGTTCTTCTCTTTCAATTTTGTTTTTTTGAGACAGTCTCACTCTGCCACCCAGGGTGGAGTGTAGTGGCACGATCTCAGCTCACTGCAACCTCCACCTCCTGGGTTCCAGCCATTCTCCTTCCTCAGCCTCCTGAGTAGCTGGGATTACGGGTGCCCACCACCACACCCAGCTAACTATTTTTAGTAGAAATGTGGTGGGTTTTTTTTTGTATTTTTGTATTTTTCATAGAGATGAGGTTTTGTTATGTTGGCTAGGCTGGTCTTGAACTCCTGACCTCACGTGATCCACCCACCTCAGCCTCCCAAAGTGCTGGGATTACAGGCATGAGCCACCACACCCAGCCTCTTTCATTCTGTTTTGAACTAAATATTGTTTGTACTACATGTGGTTATAATTGCTTATTGGTTTTAATTGGTTGTTGTCAATTTTATATCTTGCTCTTACCCCAATACTTTTTCATTTGTATTCATCTTAGCATTTATTTTATTGGGGTTTCCAGGTGTACTTGGATATTACCTACAAAAAGATCATTTGTCTTTTCCTTAGGGTTGAATGCTTTTACAGGTTTATATTACGTATTGCCAAATCTTGTAAATACAGTACCGATTCATACTCTTCTTGTGGCAGTGTTTAGCCATATCCTTGTCAGCACTGAATATTAACATTTTTTTTAATCTGCCAGTTTACTATAATTTTCATTCATTTAGAGGACATTCACTGTTCCTCTTCCCCACACCAGGTGGCCTGCCAAGGACACAGCTCTGGTGAGGACACAGTAGGGCGCCTGCAGATCCAGTCCCACTCCAGTCCCTGTCCCTATCCCCAGGAGTCCTTGTTCTAGGTTGTTTCCTGAGGTTTCAAATGCAGACAGCTGCTGCCCTCTGAGCCCAGCCAATGGGACAAGGCCAGCGGAGAGCCCGTCTCTGCCTGAAGGATTCACTCTGGAAAATCCCCGAGTGGTTATGTAAAATCCATTGCCCGGCTCCCCGCTCTGTAGAACTGTGTCACAATAAGCCCTCTGGGTGTCTCACAGGATCCCCCGCACAGCTCGGGCACTGCCAGCAGCAATAGCCCCTCCAGTGCCTCAGTCTATCCAGGAGCCAGGGGTCAGCCAGGCACCCTCCAGGGCCAGTCCCAGGCCACCCAGTCCGAGTGTGGCCGAGCACCTATGCCTCTTAAAAATCTGGTAAAATGGATAAAGCCTCCCTGAAAGTTCCTACTTTCTTAAAAAGCCCAGCCCCCGCCCAGGCCCGAGTCCTTTTATGAACAACCCCATCCACCCATTTGCAGAGGGTACTGCTGCTGTTTGGCACTGACACTGCCCTGCTCAGGCTGGCAGCCCCCCGGGAGGCTGCTGGAGGTGCCAGAGGACACGGCCCACAAGGCTCACCCTTTTCATTCTCCATCTTGTCCCATTATCCCCCACCTCAGCCCCCTCCTCGAGGTAGCCCACCCAGCGCTTTTCCACATGCCCTGTTCCCAGCACTGAAGCTTGCTTGCTGTGTGATCTCAGGCCAATTGCCTTAGCTCTCTGGGCTTGTTTCCATCTGCACCTCACAGGTAGATGTGAGGAGTGAGAGAGCATTCACAGCAGGTCTACATAGCACATGGCACAGAGTAGTCTCCATGAATGTGTGTTCATGGAGTGGGAGAGTGGAAGAATGGATGGATTGTGCTAGCAAACCCTCCAGGGGCTCAGTTTCTTCCACTTAGACCATCAGAACCCAGAAATCAGGGTGCTGACCCGAAATATAACCTGTTAGAAATGCAGCCACCCCGCCCTGCACTGCTCAGTCCCACCCTAGGGGAGTTTTCAGCCGCACTGAGGATGAGCTCTGTGGGGACCTGACCCAGAGAAAGGGACACTTGGTTGCTGGACCCCAGACCAGCCCTTCCACAGCCTGGCTGTGCGGGCATCTGGACTGACTTGACAGTCCCCTCCCAAGAGCTTAGTTGGGCCTCAGGGGAGACGGGGGCTGTGAGAGGGTTGCCCACCGCCCCTCAGCCTGGGAGCTGGGTCCTCAGAAGAGAGGAAATTTCCGTCTATTTATTTTCCACGTCCTTGACTTTGAAAGCCAAGCTGGTGTTGATATTTACCTTGGCCAGGCCTCCGTCTCCCCAGGCCAGCCTCGTGTAAACACACTGTTCCTTCTCTCAGCTCTGCTAGCACTGAGGTGGCCTTTTGCAACCAATTCTAGGAATTTTGAAAGTCTGAAGGCGTAGGTTCAGGGACTAGCCCTCCAGGGAGCCCAGGGTGCCAGGAGCCCTCGGACCTGCTATGCTGGCCTTGGGCTCTCTCCTTGGGGGCTCACACCACGGACTGCAGGGAGTGAATGGGCCTGGGCCCATGGAGGTGGGGTCTTGCTGGGCGTTCCTCAGTTCTCCTCACAGCCGTAATGGGGCCTTCCGCTCCCCAGGTTCACAGCGAGGCTCAGAGGACACACGTTGAGGGACCGTGGCGGGCTCTGGCTATCTCCACTGCCCTGCTCCAGGCCACCTCCACCCTGGCTGGTGGGGAGGGCTTGCTCTTGAGCATCAGCCAGCTCTCTAGCGTGAGTCGGCAGTGTGGGCAACTGGTCTACAGTTAGAGGGAAAGCAGAGCAGGTGCCCAGGGTGCAGCCTCCCAAGGCAGCACGTTCCCCTACCAGAAATCCCTGCCCGCGGGGAGTTTGCCTTCCAGAGGGCAGGTGGACTGCGAGGAGAACAAGCTGGCTTGGGGTGGGGTGAGTGCTGCAGAAGCCAGGGTGAGCAGGGGCTGGCAGGGTCAGGGACGGGCCGCCAAGTGCATGCAGGAGGTGAGCAGAGGCACATTCCCACTGCAAATCCCAGCCTGCCCCAGCCTCCACTGTTGGTTCTGCCAGGTGGTTTACATACACACTAGTGAGGCCTTGGTCAAGTGAAGTAACTTCTCTGAGATTTGGTTTCCTTGTAGAGAAATGGGGTGACAGTCCCTCAGACACAAGGGAGTGTTCTGCACATGGTAGCTGCCCTGACCGCTGTGGTTCTGAAGCATCAGTGTGCACCATGGGGCGGTGGGACAGCTCAGCTGAGCCTCTCCCCTTCTTCACGCAGATCTGGGACATGAGCGACGATGAGACTTTCTGAGCCGGCCCTGTGTGTGGGACTGACATCTCCCGGCGGCCTGCTGAGGAGCATCCGTCACCGGAGCAGGACTGCTGACCCTGGGCCTGGTGATTCTGAGCCCTGGGTCCCTCCAATCTCTCCGGTCTCCTCCTTTCCATACCCTGAGGACTGGGACCCCCTCCACTGCCCAGGAACAGCCAGTGTTCGGCATTGCTTGGGATTCACGATGCAGCCAGTTCAGAGCTAAATAATAACCTTGGCTTTGGCCTTGCTGTTGACCTGGGACTTGGTCCCTCCGTGCAGTTTTCTTTTCTTGTCAGTGTTTGATAGCCAAGCCCCCAGGATCCTTATCCCTCGGTCCCCAGGGGGTGGCCCAACACAGACCAAATGGGGAAGTAAGCAACCTGCTCTGCCCATGCGCCACAAACCCCACTGCAGGCTTCTCCTGTGGGGGCCCTGGGCATGGGTAGGGTGGGACCCTGTGACTGCACTGCAGCCTGGCCCTGGGGGAGGGGAAAGGGAAGGAGAGCTGAGCAGGGTGCGGGACTAAAGGGCCACACTCGTCCCAGTGACCCCAGATCTCCACCGCGGACGGAGTGAGCCGCCTAGACAAGGCTTTCCTGCCTCCTGGCCTGTCCTCAGCTATGGGCATATAATCTGTGCTTGCCTGCCTGCCTGCCTGAGGCAGAGGAGTTTCTGCTGCTGCCTTGAGCTGGGGGAAGAGCCCAGGAATAGATCCTGGATGAGGCTCCTCCCATCCCTGCCCCTGTGAGCATGACAGGCCCAGAAGGCTGAGCCAGGGCTCCCTTCCTGCCCCAGCTGAGGAGGGGTCAGATGGCTCTACCATCGGGTAACTCGGGCAAGAGCTATTTTCCTCGTTATTCTGGGTGTGTGCAGCTGTGAGGCCCAGAGAGCAGGGTGTGGAAATCCAGAGGCGGCCCAGGTGCCTCTGCCCACCCTGCCCCATCCCTGTTGTACTGGGACCGCCGACCCCTCCCCTCTAAGATGTAGAAGGCATCGTCCCTGGAGCAGTGTAGGAGCCAGAGGCTCCCTTCCTGCTATTTTATTTTTTCAGCTTTCATTCATCTGAGGCCCAGAACCAAAGTCAAAATTGAGTCTGGGCTGACCCTTAAAATAGTGGGATTTGGTACAGTAGATTTCAAATAAGGGCTTCTCCCGAAGTAGCCAGTCCAAGGTCCAGTGGCTGTCACTCAGCTCATGGGAGCTTCGTGGGGACACAGCCGGACAGGTGCAGGGCCCAAGTCCATCCCCCCAGCCCAGTGCTGAAACTCCAGGGTTGAAGAGCCACACGTACACTATGTAGTTTAAGAGCACTTTATTATTGTTCTTAAGGCTACTTTTAAGTACAAAAAAAGATGGCCTGCCAAACCTTTTTTTTTTTCTTCTTCCAGGAAAAACAGGCCACAGAGAATGGTATATTACAGATTTACACACATGGAGAGAAGGTCAGAGCGCACGGTAGACGGCGTGGCTCTGGAAGAACTTCACGGAGCCCCTTCTTAGAGCAGGGAGGGGCTCTTTCTCAGTGAAATGTTTGGTTTTCTGCTGCCCCCTCTGCCCGAGGCCCCTCCAGGGTACCGCCTATCCCAGATAGGTCAGTGCGCCAGGGACCCGGCCGCCAGCACCGCCGACCCCCCCCCCCAGAGTGACGCCCTTGTTCACTGACAAAGAGACCTGTCCCAGGAGTGTCCTCCACCGAGCCGGTCAGCAGTGGGATGTTTTCCTGTCACGACACTCAGTAGCCTGTAGCAATAACAAACTAGTGGCTAGTAATGCAGATGCAGTGTTCTCATAGAATAACTGTGTTCCTGCACTTTTACAGACGAATCTACGACAAAAAAAAAGATCAACTTTTTTTTCCAAACAAAAAAATATGAATGATTACAATAGGAAAGGGAAAAATTAAATAGCTACATATCATTAACAAATTAATGTTCTTCAAAAAATACCTACAAATTTCTCTGTACATTCTTTACGCACAGCGTAATGATGGTCTTAAAATTACCTATATAAAAAAAGTGTTCTCAACGATTTTTCCTACAGAAAATATAGGGGCCTGAATGCCAAAGCCAAGCTTGGAAGCCCAGTAGAGTGGGAGTGAAATGTGTGCGGGGCGAGGAGAAGGGCTTTTCCTCCGCTTTCCAAAGGCCGGCAGCACCCTGTGCCTACAGCAAGAGCCACCCTCTGACCTTTTCACCCAGTGCCCGGTTCCCAAATCCAACAGTGGAACTGTAAAACCAGGGCTCCTGCTGTGTGCATGAGGCCATAAAGCCTTGCAGGGGAGGTGACCACGCCTGTGTCACCTGGTCAGGTGGCGGCTGCGTGAGCTTCTGGTGGGCCAGGTGGGACGTAGCACACCCTGGTGGAGGGGATAGAAACGCTCATTGACCAAAAAGAGCAGCAGCTGTGACCTCCACAGCTGTGTCTGTCATGCTTGATTCATCTAATTTCTAGTTAGTAACTATTAATATAGCGAATAATAAATGCAGTAATAACGGTATAAAGTCAGAGGAATGTATACTACCTTGGCCCCAGCGTACGAGGAAGCATAAGAAACACTATTATCACAGATTGTCAGTAATCTGCTGTTCAGCCAAGAGAGTTCAAAGGGAGCAGTTTCTGCATGTAGGGAATTTGGAAGACACAAACCCCACCTCCCCGGGAGCTTTTAACAAAGCAGACAGGGATGCAAAAATAAATGATGTCAGTCTGCAGCACAACTCCAGCATCCCACACCGCAGCTGACCACTGCTCATCGCGAGGGCCGGCCAGGAGCTGGCCTCCCGCACTACTTGTGAGTAAAGTGAATATCAAATACAAATCTTAGAGTACAACTGTACCAGCAGTAAGTATATCTAGGACTGTAACTGACAAAAATAAACTAATTCTGACAAGAAGATAGTATTAAGTTTTTGTTTACTGCCTATATAATAGAAACCAGCTATTTTTTCTCCATTAAAACATGCATCACGTTTAAAGCACTATGGAATCCTCCAACCTCAGCTCTAGTCTAACAAACTGCAGTGTTCAGAGAAAGTAAAATGCCCGTGATTGGTAGAGTCTGCAGTCCAGTTGCAAGCACCTGAAATCTAGAGAGAGAAAGACCTATAACCTGTATGAGACTTCCCCTTCCAAAGCTGTATTGTCTAGATTAAAAAAAAAAAAAAAAAAAAAAAAAAAAACAAACACAAATGGTCAGAAATGTCATCCTTAAACCCTTTGTTTTTCAGCAGTTTGCCCTCAGAGTTCTGGCATCACACACAAAGTTGGCAGGCAACTTTAGTCCTCCTCCAATAGTGCAAATCAGACACGACAGTTCTCTTCAAGTATACACACGCACACACACGGACCGAACCAAACACGCCGTGGAAGCTGAGCTGCACACACCCCGGTCTCAAGAAGCAAAGGAAAAAGCACAAAGCGTCTGAGTCACCAATTCATCATGGCTTGTGACTAAGAAAGCGCTGTGGAGTCCTGGCCCCGTCGGGGCAGCAGACCTGCATCAGAGGTTTCTTTGGTAACTGAGGCAGGAAGTAAGGATGCTACATTAGACAGATGTTCCACACGTAGTTCCTGCTATCATGTTTGAGGGCCCCCCTATACGGATACCAAGCAAGTACAAAACAACAAAAATCCCAACAACATGGTTTTTGCGAATAAACCATCCCTTCCCCCCACCCTCCCCCCCTTTTTTTTTAAGCACTGTTCAAAGCTCAGGCAAACCATGCACATCCACGTGGTGTTGGAGGAGGCGCTCCCTTCAGGAGACCACGGAGGGGGAGTGACTGTGGCTGACCATGTGGGCAGAGGGGCTGGCGGGCTGGCCCCTTCGAGAGGCAGACTCAGGGCTGCTGGACGCTCCGTCCTTGGCCGCTTTGATCTGGAGCCACGTGTCACCCAGAGCTTTGGCAAAGTGGTCATCCACGGAGCCTGTGATGGACACAGAGTTGGGTGCCGGCTCAGGTTCCTTGTAGTTCTTGCCCAGGCTCCTGCGGAAATGCTCCTCCACCACGGGGTCACAGGTGGTGGTGGCTGCAGGCAAGCAGGAAGGCAGTCAGACACAGGTGGCTGCAGCACCCTCCCTCAGGCAGCCCAGAGCTGGACTGGCTGCCATGGTCAGTGTAGGTTCTGCAAACAGCCCACCTCCCCTAAATCAGGCACTTAGGCAGGTCACTTCTCTGTAAAATGGTTATATACCGTCTGCACTAGGCCAGAGTTTAAGTTCAAAAAGAGAACATAGCATTACATTTAAATAACATCAGCTGCTGCCCTCCCTGCAACTAGAGCATGGTATCCTGGAGTGTGGGGGAGGGGGCAGCATGTTTCTCACACCCTTCCCACCCAAGCCATGCGCAATGCTAGGTGCACACTGTATGTGCTCAAAATTAATACTCCTTTCGACCTCAGCAATAGCTGGGCTCAGGAACAAAGGATTTCAGCCAACAGCATAACAGAAGGGCTCTGCTGCCACTGGTGAGGAAGCCTGGGACACTCACCGCTCGGTGGCCTCCGGTAGCTGGTGGGGCCTGGCGCAGCACAACCACTGTGCACAACGGGGCAGTGCGAGAGGTTGCAGTTGCGGGCGCCGGCTGAGGCGCAGGTGATCACGGAGGGCCGGTTCTGTGGGGGGGGGGGGGGGGGGGTCAGCATGTGAGGACCACCACAGTGCCGGGCACCGCCCCTGGAGCCCTGCCTGACTGCATCCGCTACCTCCCGCCTCAACACTGGAGACCCGTTGCTAAACACAGCCAATCAACAGAGGGAGCGCAGCTCCAAGGGTGTGTGTAGTGGCCCTTGGTTTTGGCTGTTTGGATCAGTGAGGGTACAAAGGGCGAAAGCTCAACTGTTGATTTGGTCTGTCCCCCTCTCTCAAATCTGCCTTGAGACAACAGACACTGGGCGTCCTGTGGACGGCAGAGGGTTGCAGGAGGGACCTCGCTCCTCCCGTTACTGTCCCCAGAGCCTTTCCCATCATGTCCACAGAGCCGTGGGTGTGCCTGAAGCCATCCAGGACACTTCAATGCACGGCAATTAATTGGAAGCATTTTGTTTGAGCCAAAGCCAGCTTGAGTTGGCTTCAGTGATGACCGACAAATCAGGACAGAGAGGGAACAGAGGAAATGCGCCTAAGTGTAGAAAGGCACACATCCCAGCCCAGCCCAATCTGCCCGGCACACGACCGCACTCTCCTTCCTCATCACCCCCATGCTGTCTGCCTGGCAAACTCCCCTTTTCCTTCAGGCCCTGTTCAGATCTCTGTGAAGCCTTTCACTGGCTACTCCCTCCTTTCACTCCTGCTCCCCCAATCCACCAAAATTCAGCAAGTGCATCAGTCTGTCCAGGTGCTCCCATAAGACCATGCACACTAGGTAGTATGTCTAGACCCCCAGCCTTGGTGCAGAATCTGGGGCAGAAAATACTTATGAACTCAACAGCTTCCTCAGGTTCCCCCAGGAAAGGTATTTCCCGATACCAGCCGAGGACAAGGCAGAGGAATATGTGGGCTAAGTTCTAGGACGGCCAGCGAGGAGTTGGTTGAAATCACCCCACAGTGACCAATGGTGACAGCAGTGTCAGCCAGAGGGACGCCAGGCCTTGTCCTCCCCAGCTAGCCCTTTCCATTAAAGTCAGAGCAGTAGCTGGTATAAAGACACAAAAGGCTTGCATGCCAGTTCTCCTTGAGATGGCAGTTAATGGGAATGATGAAAATGGATTCTAGGATGAAAATGTGGATCTACAAGGATGAACTGGGATTAAACATAAGGGTCTGTGCTTAAGTCTAACAAAAAATTACACAAGCCAGGGTGGGGGGAGATGCGGCTTAGCAGCAGCAGACAAACCAAACATTCAGGGTTTTTTAGTAGCGCAACACTTTAGCAGCAGGACAGAGCTGCCCAGAGGTCATAGGCCCTCTGTGGTGTGCACTGGTGGCGGTGCAGAGAACCCGGGCAGGTGGAGCTGGGCTGAATGTCCACGCTCTGCCTGTGAACCGTGCCTCAGGTGAGGGCCTTCACGGTGCTGAGCAGACAGGGTGGGAAAAGGGGTTGGAGACCGAGATGAGGCCTCAGCAGATTTCACACCGGGCTGACCACAGGGCAAGCAGCATCAAGAGAGCAGGATGCCCACCAAGACCTGGACACGAACAGAGCCGGGAGGAAGGAGGGCCCTGCCCCTGTCCAGCTCTCAGTGGGATGGCCAGGCTCTTCCTGAGCCCAGCTGTACCCATGACCTTGGGCTCCGGAAGACACCCTAGGGTCCTCCCAGTAAAACTTCCTTCCTTTTGTGCTCAGCTGGCTTGTTCTTTGCAGCAAGCATGTCCTGACCCATGCAAATGTGGGGAACTGGGGAGACGTTTCAAGTGGGGGAGGGCAAATCAAGGAAGATGAAGTGAGCTCACTGTCCAGCCTTTACGTCAGTCTATCCCAAGGCAGGAAAGGCCACTTCAAAAGAGACTGTGCCCCCTCTCTGGCAAGGGACCAGCAGGGCAGCCTGGCTGACTGGTATCGGGGTACCTTCAGGGCACCTGCTGACCTGAACTGGGTAAATCTCCTTAACCTGTCACCTGCAGATGTGAAGATGCTCAGTGCCTGGGCATCCTCTCCTCCTCCCACAACCCAGGCCACAGGGTGGCCCATGAGTTCTCCTGGGAGTGGCTCCACTGCCACCCCTTCCCACGTGGAGTCAGCCATCTTGCCTCTGCCTCTGTGGTTGAGTGCAGGCTGGGACTCGACCACCTAGAACAGGCCCCAGGCCTCCAGACGGTGAGCGTTTATGACATCTTGAGACCCCCCTCCCCCACACCAGTATTTTCCAGATGGGGAAAATGAAGGCCAGAAACACCCTGCTGGAAGTTATGTTGCAGATTTGTGGCAGGGTCGGGATAAGCCCTGTTCTAACCCCTTCAGCCACTGCCCCACCCACCTTCACTGTCTTCAGAGGCTACCCTGCAGGAGAGAGGTCCCACCTTTCCTATCTGAAAGCAACCCCCGAGGCTTGCTGTGTGAAGCTTTTTTTTGAGACAGGGTCTGACTCTGTTACCCAGGCTAGAGTGCAATGGTGGCGATCTTGGCTTACTGCATCCTCTGCCTCCCAGGTTCAATCGATTCTCCTGTCAGCCTCCCGAGTCACTGGGATTACAGGTGCCCACCACAACACCTGGCTAATTTTTGTACTTTTAGTAGAGAAGAGGTTTCACCATGCTGGTCAGGCTGGTCTTGAACTCCTGACCTTAAATGATCCGCCCACCTCGGCCTCCCAAAGTGCTGTCCTGTCCCGGTTCCCAGAGATCTGAGTCACAGTTTCCACTGCACATAAGAAGGCTTCCATGTGCACCCCACAGGGCTATAGCATGCGTTTTGCCCTGCTGTGGACACAGAGCTTTGCTGTCACCACAGGAAGCCCTCTCCCCACCGCCACTTCTCTGGCTCTGAGCTGCAGAATGACACCCAACAGACTCCCGGCAAAGGGTCTTGGAGCTGCTGCAGCACAGGCAATGCGGCTGCTTGGTGTCAGCAGGGCGCCCAAGCCCAGCTTGGGTTGGAGTGTGTGGCCCCGGCCCCACCATGCTGCGGCAGGAAGGAGCCCCACAAATGGTCACAACATGAATGATGCACTGACAGCAGCCAAGGAGGGCAGGATTGACCCCCTCTTCCCCATCAACCCCAGCCTAAAATGACAGCTCTGGTTGGGCCCACTGTGCCCTTCCCAGGAAAACAGGCAGCTTGGGGTTCTGGCTCTGTCCTCAGTCCAAGCCAGGATCCTGCAAGGACACAGCTGGGGAGTCAAGGTTCTCCCTCCTAGGAAAGCTGCTCAGGAGCCCTGAGGCATGAGGAGGGGCCCTTGCCACATGTGCTGTGGGCAGCCAGGCCCACTCCAGGTTGAGGAGAAGGAGAGACAGGGTAAAGATAACCAGGCTGCTCTGTCCAGCAGTTCAGCTTCTGCAAAGCAACGGTGACCGAAAACCAAGGGCAAGATTCTCAAGAGGCTTCCAGAGCCAGGGTCATCCGAGAAAACACTAAGCCCGCCGAGGGCCACCCTGACCCTGCAGCCGAGACAGCGCACAGGGCACCAAGGCCCAGAGGCTGGACGTGGGTGCTCTGAGATTACAGCTGAATCCTCCCCTCCAAACCCCTGTCCTTCAGAGACTTCCCAACAGCAGTGGCAATGGCCGGAGAGCCAAGTTCCACCTGCATGATCCAGGCCATGGCTTGTGGCATCATTACAATACCTGTTGAGCTTCACAAAGCAGAAAGCATGTCCACTGCCCACCCCAGGTGCAGTGAGCGGGCCTGTGGGTCCCACTGCCCACACACCTCTGCTCTGGCCCCTGCTGCTGCCCAGGAGCACAATCCTCTCTCCTCACATCCATTTTCCCAGCTAGACTGGGAGCTCCCTGTGGCTGTGACAGTGTCTACACACACCTCTGGCTGCCCAGAGCTCCACTCCACAGAGGGCTGATAAAACACTGAAATGAAAAGCAATGGTAACTCGGCCCCAGGTTCCATCAGACACATCAGTGGTCTCTCCTGCAGACTAAAACGGAATGTGCTGGGAACAAAGAATGCATCTTGCTTGACAGGCTTCTGGTACCCCCAGCACACAATAGGGTCTATGCCATTTTGTTAAATGAATGAATTGAAAAAGCAGGATTACCATGTCAGGCTCCAAGGCAGGATGGGCAACTGTTCTCAGCTTCACTGGGATTCCCAAGCACTAGAACCACCTCTCAACTCCCAGGGCCTCCCCACCCACAGTTGTAACAGATCCCTGCTCAGAGGGAAGCCCTGGGGGTGCTGCAGGGACACAGAGGCCCTCACAGCTGAATGCACAGAGCTGCAGGCACTCCCTTGGGGCACAGCACCATCCTCTCTGTCAGCCTTAAGAAAATGCTGATTACTGACTAAGGACCTATTAGGTCGCAGGCCCAGGGGGTTCAGAGAGCTCAGGCAGGGTTCGGAGCCTGCTGCCTCCTATACATTTCCCCAGGAACCCCAATTTTAAAAAGATTGGTTTCCACCAAGCAAACTGTGTCTACTAAGTCATCATTTAATTCCCTATGTTCCTTCAATAGAAAAAAAAATCCGTATGTGCCAATCATAGGCTTCTGACCGGCATGGGCTCACAACCCTGTTAGCATCAACTGTGCAGGACCTCAGCTCAAGGCAAAGAAAGCAACCTGACAATTCCCTTCATCCGAGTGACCTTCTAATGGAGAAACATAGGACTCCCATGAGGATGAGTACACTGACCCTAAGAAAAACAGGCCTGCCACAGAAGACTGCGGTGAAAACACCTCCGTGCACCACCTGTACTGTGGAAGGAAAGAGATGAAGCCCCAGGGACACTGACCTTGTCCGAGGCCGTGAGTGCTAAGAAGGGCCCGGGCAGGTCTGGGTAGGAAGTAAAAGGAGAAGAGGAGGACTCCTGTTCTGCTGTCCATTGTCCTAAGTGCATAACAGAAGCTAAGGGTGGCATCCCTCATACTGCCCTTGGGGTCCTCTGCTCGGGACTCTCCATGCAGCTTAGTCCCCAGGCCCCTGGACTCCCCCAGCCACCCTCCCGGACAGAGGCCCACCTGCTGCCGCTCCCCTGGGGTCAGTGTGGGTGAGAGGCCGGCCTGCCTGCCAGCATCCAGGCTGTTCTTGGTCAGTGCGAGGGGCTGCTCCAGGCCAAGGCTGGGGAGGGACGTGTACAGGTGGCTGCCGTGCAGGCTCACAGTAGGAGCCACGGCGCGCTCGATGGGGCTGCGGCTCCGCTCCCGTGGGTCTTTGCGGCAGTCTCCATTGGCAGTCTTGTTCCTGAAAAAGAGGAATGAACGTTCAGAGGAGAATCCCTGGCAATTTTCTGAAAGGCAAAAGGGAGAGTGTCTGTGTGCCAGGCCCTCCATGTCACTTGTTTTTTTTACCCTGAAGCTCAGGTTGCATGGTCCGGGAGCACAGTGAAGAGCCGGCTGCCAGCCCCGGTCAGCCCAACACCAAAGCCTTTGGGTGCCGGGAGGGCTGCTGCCAATGGAGCCCAAAGCCAGCTCCACAGAAGATGGAGCCCCCAACTCTCTGTTCACTTCTATAATAATTCTATAATTCTATAATAATCTCCACTCCCTTGGAGCATGGAGAGCTGGAGGCCAAGCTGGTTTGATAAGGACCTGCCATTTAGACAGGACGGAGACACTGACGATCCAGTCACCAGCTGCACCCTACACGCCAGGCCCTGTTCTAAGCCTCCGTGGTACTGCTTACCCATCTTCCCAACGGCACTAAGCAGGCAATGCCATCATCACCTGCTTTCCAGATGAGAACCCCGAGAAGTCAGACTGGTGGAATAACCAGCTCAGGCTGCTGGCCAACACGTGGCAGCGTCTGCCCTGGTGCTCCTGGTACGCTACTCTCCGGGTCAGGAGAACAGGGAGAGCCAGTGCACAGCTCTCCCGTCCAGGACCCACCAGCAAGAGTGACCTGCTTCCAGAAGGTCCATCACTAGCCCCGGGCATGTGCTGAGCACTCAGGCGATGCCACATGGAATCCAGGTGAGACAGTAGGCACTGCCTCCATCCGATGTGTTAGTCTGAAGGTGTTGTGATGTGTTTTGTCTATTAGACACTGACCCCCCCACACAAGTAAGGCACAGCCAGCCCTGGTCCATCCTCCCCACTTTATTCCATCTTCCCTGCTTCACCCATCTTCCCAACAGCACTAAGCAGGCAATGCCACCACCTCCCCCTTTCCAGATGAGAACCCCGAGACTCAGACGGGTGAACAACCAGCTTAGGCTGCTAGCCGAACCGTGGCAGCATCTGCTCTGATGCCACAGATTTTAGGGGTCCTACAATTCCCTCTGCCTTGGGTCTTGCCCCTTGAATCCACCACGTCCTCCACTGACAGAGTAATCTTTTTCCATAATAAGCTGGTCTTTCGAGAAAAATGTGTGAATCATGATTTCAGTGAATTTTCTTTAAGGAACAAAGTATTTTCAGAGTCTGCAGGCAGTCACCTGTCTTCAGCAGAAAAGCTTGAGCTTGCCCTGGTGAAGAACAGCCACAGCCCCGCTCCCGGACTGGCTGAATATGTCACACACACACACACACACACACACACACACACACGCACGCACGCACGCATGTGACAGTCATACCTTTCTAATATTGTAGATTAACTTGCAGTTGTAAGAAACAACATGGACCATCCCATGCACCCTTGACCCTGACTCCCCCGATGGTGATGTCTTGTAAAATACAGTACAATATCACAACCAGGCTATTGACAATGAGACAACTACCAGCCTTATTCAGATTTTCTGCTTTGCTTATATCCATTCCAGAGCAGCCTCTTTATAAGGCAAATCCAACCACATCCAGTCCTTAGTAAACGTTTTTAGCAGCTCAGCACTGGCTATGGTGGCCTCTGGCCCTGGCCACCTTCCCATCCTCACTTCTGGCTCCACACCTCCAAATGTTGTGCTCCATAGTTCCAACCGTCTATATGCCATTGCTCAAATAAGACACAGCCACTCTATGCCTCTGTGGCTGTGTACATGTGGTGCTGCTCCAGCCTCCCTCCTCCCTGGTCCTGCACTACCAACCACAGCTGCAGTGTTCTGAATCCCGAAGCGCCCCGTGCAAACCTTGAATATAGAACCCATCACCCACCGTCAATGGTCTCTTCATCTAGGCACCCGCCCCTCCCCACATGCAGGAGCCTCCGAGGGTGCTAGCTGAGTCCCACCTATCTCATTACCCTTGCTGCCTTCGGTGCAGAGTGACTTAGTGAGTGAATGAAGAGAAACTGCACATGGGTGACGGGATAAGAAAGGCAGGTATTATGGAGGGGAACTGTGGATGGGCAGAGTGGTGGAGAGCTGGAGGGCTGAGGACTCAACTGGAAGCATGTCCAAGCCTTCAGATGGACTCTGCAGCCCAATTGGTGAGCTGTTAAGGGCTCAGCAGAAGCACGAGAGGGCCTGAGTGCAGCCTCGGCTGTGACGTCATGATGTCACTGTGCCATCTCTAGCAGGGGCACACACTCAGCTTGCCACTTAGTGCCCCTGAGGCATTCCGAGCCTCAGCGTCCTCATGCAACCATGTGGTCATAGTAAGATCCACCCACAGGGCTCTAAATGAGGGACGAACAGCACCACAAATGAAAACAATCATGGCGCGCACTGCAACCAGCAGTGAGTGCTACGAGAACCCCAGCAGTCCTAAGCCGCGTGTACTGATTATAGGGTGCGTAGCTGGACAGGACCCAGCATTCCTTTACGCAGTTTTTTTTTTTCCCTTTTATTCTCTGGCTGATGACACAAAATGTCTTAAAAGCAATTAGGGAATAAACGTTCAGCCCATTAAGACAAACACGGAAGACAACGTTCTGGCCAGAGTCTAGACAGTAGGTTCCACCTGTGCCACACACACCCTGGCAATTTTCCAAACATTAAAAAAATAATAATAATAAAGTTTATACTGAAACCAGCCTGTCCATAATGTCATCTGTCTGTGGCGATTCAGAAGACAGCACAGGTTTCTGCAATGAATGCCTCAAGGGTTACGATCCCAGACGTCACTGAAGAACCTTCCACTGAACAGACAAGCAGGCCTGAGATCCTCTGGCTTCTACCTAAACAGGGCTTTGGTTCCTGAACACTCAATTCATCAGTGTCACCACACACACTCACGTTCAGCATCCCGCTCCCTTCTAAATTCAGATAAAGATACAATTTCTTTTTTAACATGAGTGAACGTCTTCCCTGCTGATGCTTCCCTGGGCTACCTCATGAAGAGCACAGACCTGGGGGCTCAGGTCATGGATTCATGAGCGCCTCAGACACAGCCTGTCTCTCAATTTAGACTTCTGTTTATTCAACCAGTGCTAGCTGCATCCTTCCTCTGTGGAGTTTACGGAAAGGAAGCCACAGCCCTGCCTTCTCATGGGCCTACAATCTAGCAGGGACAGAAGGGCCTGGGAGGAGCTGCAGCTCCCCAGCTCCAGGCGAGGTGGCGCCGCCATGGGAGCCGGCACAGGGCTGGAGAAGTCCAAGGATGAAGACACCCCCAGGTGGTAAGGAGGAGCAGCCTGAAGCTCAGGCAGTGTCTGTCCACAGCCAAAACCAAGGTCGTGGTACATAAGGCGTTGCCCACCCCTCGCACCTTACGTCCTGGGGCACAGCACCGTCACATGGATGACTCAGCTGCACCTCAGGAAATCCAAGCATGACTATGAGACTACATCACAGAGGAGAGGGATGCCAGGGCCACCAGCTGCCAGGGCGGAGGTGAGGATTGGGCAGCCTGCACCTAAATCTGTGCTCCCACGGCCCCGCTGTGCGCCCACCCTACGCAAGGCAGTGGGGAGAAGGGGACTTCCAGGCACACTAACCAGAAAGACAGTCCATGGGACACACTGCAGTGGGCACCACAGTCAGACAAAGACGCAGAAAACACAGCGAGACAAGGCCCAGAGAACTGGCTGGTTAATTTTAGTAAAATTATACATTACTCACATTTCCAGCTCATTTTCCTGGTTCCCGGAGCTTCAAGACAGACATTGTTTTCTAGGCCCCACTCCCCCGGGTGAATCACCTCCAGGCCACTGCTTCCCAGGCGTCACATGCTCTCGGGGATGGCAGAAAACCACATGCATCCTGCCCGGGAGATGAGGGTCCCCTCCACTCCTGGTCAGGACTGTGCCTGGGAGAGCACAACCGCGAGCACCCAAAGGATTCTGAGTGGCTCTGCAGCAGGCCCATCGGAGCTGCTGAGGCTGCACGGCACCCAGCCCTGCCCCGGGCCTCACGCCCATCCTAGGTGGGCACTTCCACTGCCGCTGCCTCGGAGAGAAAGATGGAAAGAGGAAGGAGGGAGAGAGAAGCCTCCAACACTATCATCCAGGACAGAGTTTTCTGAGGACTGAAGGCCACCTGCTCTCCAAGCTGAGAAGCCAAGAACGTCTACAGCATTTGGGGAAAAGTTAACCAGATTCTAAGCAGTAGCAATGAAAGAATCCATCATGTGAAAAGTGTTCTTCATCTGTTTGATACTCATTAACATGAGTTTCCTACCCTTCAACAAACACGCTCCGGGCTGCTCAGCCCACTTAGCCCCATCACCTGGCGCTCTGAGCCTGCCCTGAGCTGCATTCACCATGAACCGCCATGAGCTACACTGATCTGAGTTCTTCTGGCTGAAAAGGAGGTATAGGCACAGGACATTTTGAGGATATATTCTGGGGTCCCCGAAGGCCCCTGGGCACCATGGCAGGGCAGGGGCTCCCACCCGGTGAAAGAGGTGAGACCCAGGCCAGCCTCTGGCCCAGGCCTCCCATAAAACAACACCCTGAGGTGGCAGAGCAACCTGTCCCCATGCCAGGCCTCACTTGGCAGGAGAAGACTGAAGGCTATGCGGTGACATCCCCCAAGCACCAGAGTCTAGGTGGAGATTCAAAGGAAGAGGGAACGGGGAGGTGGGAGGCAGGGGCGGCACACAGCACCGTCTCCAGCCCTTTCCTCCTCTCCCTCTCCCCACAGCAGTTACAGGAGAATCTGAGCTCTGAGAACTGACAAGACAGCCAGACGCTAACATGGTACATCATCATGAGGTTGCTGGCTGGGCATGGTGGTATGCACCTGTGTTCCCAGCTACCTGGAGGCTGAGGTGGGAGGATCGCTTGGGCCCAGGAAGTAGAGGCTTCAGTGAGCCATGATCACGCCACTGCACTTTAGCCTGGGTAACAGAGCGAGACCCTGTCTTTAAATAAGGTTGCTAGCACATCTTTAATCTTAAAAAGCTTCCTCCAAAACAGACTTAATG